ATATGGGATATGGACATGAAAGAAGAATTTAATGCGAAACAGGATGAGACCATCATAAACAATGAACAGAAAGACCACCCGTGGCTGAGCTCAATTCATGCTTTGTGAGAGAATTGATTCCATCATATGTAAAACATGTGTTTTCGGCTGGGATGTCAAGTAGTCAACGGGCCGAAAGTTGTCATTCATTTTTCAAACAATATATTAACGGGAAAAACACATTTATGTAATTCATTGTAGGTTTTGAAAGAGCTCTTGGTTCACAGTGGCACAAGGAGTTAATGGCTGATCATGTTTGTAACGATGAAAAACCTCCATTGCCATTTCGAACACCAATGCCACATCAAATGGCATGTATTTACACTCGAGCAATTCTTGAAATATTTGAGAGGGAAGACTTTAGAAGCCTTTTATGTTTGTTCGAACTTGTAGAGCAAAATGAGACCCACTACAGGTACAAAGTAAGTGAGTGAGTAAATTCAGAGGTGACACGAATGAAGGAGCTTGTGCATGATAAAGATGCCAATAAGGCTTATCGCAGTTGCAAAGGATTTGAATTTTGGAGTATTTAGTGCCAACACATCCTAGCATTTTTAAGAATGAAGCAGGTCGAGCACTTGCCAAACAAGTACATATTGAAACGATGGCTTCAAAGTGCAAAGTGCGGTGTATTATATGATAAGAATGACAAAGAAGTTAAAGATTTTGTTGACGGTTTGCTTTTGGTTAAGAGATCGAAACTTTGCAAACTTGCAGATGATTTGATTGATTCGGCTTTGTTGTGTGATGAAGGTTTTGAGTTGCTGAAAAAATCATTTGACGACATTCGTGGGAAGTTTATAAGGTTGGTGTCAGCAAGAGCTCATATCGAAGAAGAACCCAATGGAGAGGTCGGAACTAGTTCTCCCTAAGTGAGAATAAAAGATTGACATCGAGTCAAAGCAAAATGCCGTGCGAAAAGAGTTAAAGTTCAAAAAGAGAATGTAGCAAAATGACATAAACGACTATGCACTGAATGTAGAAGGACTGATCATGATAGACAGAGTTGTCCAAAACTTGCGAGCCTATAAGCGAATATATTGTATATGGTGCTTTGAATTTTATGTTATTGTTTATTATTATTTTTTCGTTGTGGCAGCTCTTCATCTTCCGACGCAGAAGTTGGTGCTCCAGTTGCTGAAAATTTGCAGCCCACTCATAGCACGCAAGACAGTGAACCTACTATGACAGAGTCATTTATGCAAGAGTTTGATTCATTTACGGTCCCGGAGTTTGAATATTTGTTGTTACCTATTTGCATCGTTTTTGAATGCATCTGGAAACATTAGTGAATCTTAGACAAATTTATGTCCAAAGGACTTGTCCAAAATCGATGCATTTTTCACTATATCCTTTCATTTTTTCTTTAGGATGACATTTGTTAAGCACGGAGAACATAAGGTACCAGAAGTGACACACTCCACATAATCACATTGAAACCATATAGCCTTAACCATTACTACACATTCAGAGATGTAAATCGCCAACAACTTTTGAAAAATAAGAGGATTACCCATTTGAATCATGCCTTGTTTGTCTCAGCTAGTGTAAGAACAGTGAGCTACTTCAGCTTTAGGACTTGATGAGGGACCAATTGGGGAAGACGACTGGCATCACCTACAATTGAACTAATAAGTTTCAGTTTCTTAAATTCCACCGCAATAAGCCATATAAACTTACATAATTTTTTTTAAACAAAAACTCAGAGAAATTTAAGGGAAGAAGTTCTCTAAAATAAAAAAAATTAAGAAAAGAGATCCATGGATTTAATAATGTTACGGAGTTGTAGTTATAGATGCTGCATATGTTTTGAATAATAAAACCATTTAACGTTCAAATATATGCAACTTGAAATATCACCATGGACCCGGAAAACTTGCGCTAAAAATACAACTACCCACCAAGAAAAAGAAGAAAACAAATAGAAGGAAAAGGAAAATCTAATAACAATAAACAATTTAATTTTCTCTTCGGCCACATATATTGAACTTAGGGCATTTGATATTGTATCAGACATAGAAGCAGAAAAGAAACATTAATCGATTTGGTGCAAGAAGGCCAAAGCAATCAAACCAACAGCTAGAGATTCACTGATGAGAAAATGGACCAAAAGATGAAGCAAGTTTTGCACACTCACTCTTGTAGTCACTCCATGTTCCTTGTGAAAATAAGCGAAGCACATCCAGGTAGCAGTGAGGATATCATCTCCTATTTCCTCACCACCCCAATAAAAGCTGCATATAGACTGATTCTGTTTGAACCCAACGATTGCTCTTTTTTTTCTTTTTCTTTTTCCGTTTGTTCACAGAACAAGATTGCTGCTCGGTTGGGCCATCTTCCAGCAGGCAAACTCCAAAATTGGGTTTTCAGCCCAAAACTGGGATTTGCGCGGGCCAAAATTTAAGAAATGCAAAAGTTTGGCCGAAATTCAAGACCACAAACCAAACAGACTGGAAATTTGTAAAGCCCAGTTTTTACAGCCCACTTGACCTCTTGGTCTGTCGCGTAGTGCCGTCAAGAGTGGACACTCTTGTGTTAGCTTGGTACTGAAATACCGTTATGTGGTATAATTCGTCCACATGTTATAATATGAGTGGATGATTATGTTAATATTTCAAAATTTCCCACTTTTAGAGTACCTCAACACATTATACCATGCAACTATACTTTAGTACCACCATATAATTACTTGCACCTAGCGTTCTCCATTTAAACCATCCAGATTTAGTTTAAGTACTTTAATGAAGAGGTATTATACGATCAGTTTTTTGACAATTGATGCATGTAAAGGTCACAATAGATCGACAGTAGAAAAGAACAGTTCTTTATACCCCTTCTTTAGTATAAAAAAGAAAAAAAAGAAAAAAAAGAAACATGTGAATGTTTTGGTCAGAAAACAAATGACTATACGATAACTATTTTAGAGTGCCAATAACAACTCTCTTATTTCATCATATAACTAAGGATATAGGGGTCTAGAATCCAACATGTAACATAGAGGCGTTATAATTTATAGACAACTTAATCTAGTCTAAGATAGAGAAACATGCATGGAAGTGAACTGTGAGAGAACTAGAATTAGAATTTACAGATCGGACTCAAATTGTTGAGCCACAAGATGGGGATGGGGAACAACCAACCATGGTTTGAAATTTACCTGTACTTTGATCTTCTTTGATTTGATCTTTGCTATGCATCAAGCAATCAAAAAACTGTGATATTTTGCTTGTAATTGCCATACATACATGCAATTTTCTTTTGCACAAATTTATTTTATTCAACGATGCGTGCGATGCCAAGAGCCATACCATAAGCCATCACACATACACATGACAAGGAATACATGCAACATAAAAACAAGTAAAATATAACATCAAATGCATAACCTTATAACAAACTTATGAATTTCTGCATCACTCTACCTTTTTCTTATCATTGATCTGATCATTTCTACAGTCTCAATAAATAACTCCTTCCTCCTTCTGATCACAATGTCCGCAAGAACCACTCCCACTACCAACCCACTCCCAATCCCCGCCAAAACAAATTTCCAATCAAATCCAATTCTAGAGTCCAAATCGTTTTCTTCTCTGCTTGAAGGTGGCAGTTGATGGGTCTCAGCATTTCCACATTTCTTAGGCAGTGGATCCCCAAGCCGGGGTTTCCTTCATATGAAGAGCTATTGAACAGTTAGTTAGGTTCCATGTGGTATAGGACCTGTGAGATTGTTGTGGGAGACACTGAATTCTGCAAGGAATGTCAGCTGTGTCAGGTGCTGGGGAATCTCTCCCGAGAGCTTGATTTGCGAAAGGTCCAACGATTCGAGCAGCTCTAGGTTGCCTAAGAATGAAGGGATGCCGCCTGTGACTCTGTGAGAATGTTGTTCGAATTGTTGAGCGAGCGAAGCCCTTTTCACTTCCCAATGAATTCATGAATCTTCCCTTCAAATCTGTTGCTTCAGATGCCAATGGCTGCAAAGGCCTCTTGAATCCAGTATCTTTCCACACCTTTATTTGCTATTGTGATGGAGAAATCGTGTCTTTCAGCATTAAAAACTGAACGGCAACATAGTATACGCTTGCCTTCATATATGTTGACTGGTTTACAGTAATATCTGACCTCATCATTGCCTTACTCAGAGAAAATGCAGTCAATTTGGAACTCACCTGAGAAATTATTGTAGGAAAGGTCGAAAATGCTCAAATAGGGGAAACAATGATTGCTTTGTGGTTTGCCTATCACACCATGGAACTCATTATAGCGCATTGCCAAAACTTTTAACTCCGGAAGACATCACTAAATTTATTGTATGACAAAATAAGAAACTCTAGCATCACAGAGTTTTCCAATGACCTCAGAAGTTGTCCCTGCAATTGGTTATGGCTAACATCTATCACCCTTAGATTGCTTCTTTTGCTGTATGTAAGAGGAAGACTGCCTTGGAAGGAATTGTTTCAAAGATTTAAAACCTGCAGATAATCACTGAAGTTTCCGAGACATTGTGGATGCATGCCACTCAACTTCTTGTTTGACAAATCAAGATACACAAGAAAACTCATATTGCAAATCAGTGGTGAAATTTCTCCACTTAGTTTGTTGCCTGAAACGTGATATATTTCAGTGTATGGTGGAGGTATTGGTAAAGGTCCTTGTACCAAGTTCATCGCAAATGTAAGCGATCTCATGTTAATCCAGGGAAGAAGAACAGGAGGATGGTCAAAGCCCGAAAGATGGTTGAAAGAAAGGGCAAGGATCTGCAAAGTTTCTGTGCTTGTGTTCAACATCCATTTAGGTACTTGGCCATGCAATTTTTGTTTCCATACAGGGCCAACCACTCCAATCTGTCTTGGTACCTTAGGAAATATGGAAACTCACTTAAGTTGCAAGATCCCAATACTAGAACCCTGAACTGTGGAAGAGTTGCATTCATAATTTGGGATTCAGTGCGTAGTTCGAATTTGTTATCGGATGAGATTTCGTAGGTTAAGCAACTTGTCAAACTCCACTATTCCACTTAAATTATTCTCATCTAACAAAAGGTTTCGGAGATTCATGACATTGTATATTGACTCGGGAAGTGAACCATGCAACTTATTTTGACTAAGATATATGTCAACTAGCTTGGTAAGGTTACCTAGCCAAGATGGGATCGGACCAGTTAAATGATTTTTGGGAAGATTAAGACGAGTGAGTTGGGTGAGGTTTCTTAGAGAAGATGGGATATCACCACTCAAATTGATGCTTTCCAGGTATACATCATTAAGTTTCGTTTGCTTAGCAAGCCAAGACAAAGCACCGGCACTAAAGTTATTATTAGAAAGTAACAGATGGGTTAACTCAGTAAGGTTTGCCAATGAAGTGGGGATTGGACCGTTGAACTTGTTAAATGAAAGGTCAACATAATTGAGCTGCCTAAGATTACCAAGTGAAAAGGGAACGATGCCTGAGAAACTGCATGAACCCACATCTAACTCATTCAATGAACCAAGATTTTCGATCGAAGAAGGTAGTTTCCCAGAAAAACTAGTGCCTGCAATTTTCAGTACCATGAGAGGACTACTTTGATTGAACTCAGGCAAATAGCCAGTGAGATCTTGGTTAAATCTCAGGCTAAGAATTTTCAAGTTTGGTAACTTGAAAACTCCTGCGGGGAATTGACCAAAAACCCCACAATCTCTTAGGGTGAGAGATTTCAAGAAGGACAAATTTGCAATGGAATCTGGTACCGCGGAAGATATATTAATGAAATTGAGAGAGAGCTTTTCTAGACTAGTTAAGTTCTGAACCAGGCTTCTCATATTGGATGCATCCATTTTCAACAAATTTTCACCAGAAAAGCCATCGAGGTTGAGAAAGAGATCAAGGGATGACAACATGGACAGCTGTGTAACTTCGGACGGGACATGACCAGAAAAGACAGAGGCAGAGAGGTTGAGATAAGTAAGCCTTCGCAAATTGCTAATCCTACTAGGAATTTGAGAGTAATTGAAGCGGTTATCAGCGAGGTTTAGTCTCTGAAGATGAACAAGAAGGAAGAGGCTGCTGTTAGAGTTGATAGAGCCATAGAGACAACTGCTACTAAGATCAAGGCCAATCACATGACCCGTCTGCACATCACACTCAACGCTGTCCCATGAGCAGCAGGAGGTGTAAGCTTCTTCAGCTCGTTTCCATGATGAAACCTTTGGGTAGGAGCCATTATAACCTGAAGCAGATTTTGTAATGATAAAGCTTTTCTTGAATTGTAGCAAGGCAGAGAGCTCTTCATCATGGCAAGATGGCTTCTGCTGCTGCTGCTGCTGCAAAGAGTATAGAGAGTTAGCAACCACAACATGAAACAACAACAGAACTACTTTTGAAAACATTGGAAGGGACATATTGAATAATAAGACACCCTGATTTGTTCTGCACTCTTAGCTAGGTAAAGCATGCATGGAATGAAAGTGTGAGAGAGTTATAATTTATAGATTGGACTCAAATTATTGAGCAATAGGAGCACATGACTAAATTTCAAACAAGATGGGGATGGGGAACAATGATGGTTTGAAATTTGCATCTACTTGCAAGAACATGTTCTTGACTTCAAGTGAGTTCATTTTGACTTGAAGTCAACTCGTCCAATTACCCGAAAAATATGGCATTCAGATAGATGTTATTTGATCTTTGTTCTGCATCAAGACATGTGAAGTTTCCATCATGATCACTATACTAGTACCTTATTTTCAAACTTAAGAAGTTAATTTTTCTTGAAGTCAAGTCATCATCCAATTACCTGATAGTGGGGCATTCGATCATAAGCTAAAAGATGAGTACCATACTTAATCAAATGTCTCTTTGGCCATGCCATCTATGGTCTTTGCTAATCACTTTGGATGCTACCCCTGAGTATGTTCACAAATTATATTGCGGAAGGTAATTCTGGCAAGCGCAGATGTGCTCCCCACTCTGCACCTGAGTTCAAATCCCCCACCCCATAGTTTAGATAAGACTAAAGTAGACTATCGCTTGTCTAAAAAAAAGAAAAAAAAAAGTTTGCTCTTGGGTAGATTCCTTTTGCCTTTAGTAATTAGCAGCAACTATTGTAGGTATATTCATATGAGACTTTTGGAAAGCTTCAATTTCATTTCATCAAATGTATTTTGTGCTCAATTAATTATTAAAATCATTTTATTACACACAGAAAACTGCAAACATTATGAATACAGAGAATCCAAATACAGAAATACATGCATCAGTCTAGTACCTTTATTTTGATTAATTATAGCATAACCACAAGTACAACCACAAAGATAGGGCAAGGTTACATGGAAGGAGAAGCAAAAACAAGAGAAAACAACTCCAAACGCATGACCTTATAACAAACCATACTTCTGCATCCCCTACTCCACCTTTTCCATATCATTAGCCTCACCATTCCAACGACCCTAAGAAACAACTCCTGCCTTCTTGTGATCACGACATCCGCGAGAACAACTCCCACTACTAACCCACTTCCAATTCCAGCCAAAAAAAATTTCAAATCAAATTCAACCATTCCAGTTGAGCCTGAACCATCATCTTCTTGAGTTGAAGGTGGCCCTTGAGGGGCCTCTTGATTTCCGCATTTGTTTGGTAATGGATCTCCACACAATCCAAGATTTCCCCCATATGAAGTGCTATTGAAGGAAGTAAGTTGGGTACCTTGCGGTATAGGACCTGTGAGATTGTTGTGAGACACATCAAAGGTCTCAAGGAAGTAAAGCTGCGTCAGTTGTTGGGGGATCTACCTTGAGAGCTTGTTTTGCGAAAGGTCCAATGATTCAAGTTTCCTTAAGTTCGCCAAGGATGATGGAATAGAACCTGTGAGAATGTTTCTGGAAATAATGAGTGAGAGAAGCTCCTTAAGGTTCCCAATGAATTCTGGAATCTTACCTTCAAATTTGTTGCTTGAGATATCAATCGCTGCAAAGCCTTCTAGAATCTTCGAATAGTGTAAGAAAAATACCAGTGACGACATACTGTACTAGTGCCTGCATGTATGTTGACATGTTTACAGCAATATTTGGAAACAAAGGTGGAATCTCACCTATGAAATTGTTGTAAGACAAATCAAGAATGCTTAACTTGGGGAAGTCAACATTTGTTCTAGACTGTCCTATCACACTGTTAAATCCATTATGGCACATTGCCAAAAGTTTTAACTCTGGAAGAGTTCCCAACCAAATGGGAAAGACATCACTGAATTGATTGTTTGACAGAACCAGATACTCAAGCATTACACAATTCGCCAATGACCTCGATAATTGCCCATGCAATTGGTTATGACTAACATCAATCATCCTCAAACTACTTCTGTTGTTGAATGGTTGAGGCATCATTCCATGAAAAGAGTTGCTTCCAAGAAGTAAAAGCAGTAGACCCTCACTAAAGTTTCTAAGATAGTGAGGAAGCATGCCAGTCAAGTTATTTTTCGACAAGTCAAGGTACAAGAGAGAATTCATATTGCAAAGCAATGGTGAAATTTCTCCAGTAAATTTGTTGTCATTGGCTCCATATTCTAGCAAGGATGGTGGAGGGATTGGTAATGGTTCATGAAAAATGTTGTTTGAAAGTCTCAAAGAGTGCAGGTTAACCCAGGGTATGACAGCTGGAAGTTCTCCTGAAAATAAGTTTCCCGAAATGTCCAGGAGTACCAGAGTTTCCTTCCTCAAATTCCACATCCAGTTTGGTACTTTGCCACCGATTTTATTGTTTGCTATCCAACCACTCCAAATTTTTCTGATTTTGTAGGAAAAATGGGAACTCTTTTAAATTGCATGAACTCAAATCCAAAACGGTGAACTGCCGAAGAGCTGCGTTCATTATATTGGATCCAGTAACAAATTCAAAGTTGTTCGAAATAAATTGGAGTTGGTAGAGATTTTGTTGCTTATGAAACATTTGAAACTCCACTACACCGCTCAGGTTATTTGACTGTAGACAAAGGATCCTAAGATTGATGAGATTGGAAAAATGAGGCCGGAATTGAACCATTCAAATGATTAAAAGAAAAATGTAGGTAAACTAGTTTGGTAAGGTTACCTAGCCAAGATGGAATTGGACCAGTTAAAGAATTTGTACCAGCTCTAAACATAGTCAATTGGGTACGATTTTGCCAAGGAATCAAGAATTGGACCAGTTAAAGAATTCGCATTAGCTCTAAACACAGTCAATTGGGTAAGGTTTGCCAAAGAATCAGGAATTGGACCTCCAAATCTGCTTGCTGAAATGTCTAGGTAAGTGAGTTGTCTAATATTGCCAAGTGCAGATGGAACCAATGAGTTTGAAAAATTGCATTAAGCGACATCCAACTTTTGCAATGAATTGAGCTTTTCAATCGAAGAAGGTATGGTTCCGAAAAAACTAGTAAACCCAACTTTCAGAAAGACAAGAGGACTACTTCGATTAAATTCGGGCCAATATCCAGTGCGATCTTTGTTGTATCTCACATCAAGAACCTTTTAAGTTTTGTAGATTGAAAATTCTCATTGGGAATTCGCCAAACAGTGCACAATCCTTGAGGGCAAGAGATGTCAAAAATGATAAATTTGTCAAGGAAACGAGTATGATCGAAGATATGTTAATGAAACTGAGAGAAAGAGTTTCTAGACTAGATGGAAAATTTCTAGACTAGAGGCAGAGAGGTCATGATGAATGAGGCTTGGAAAATTTCTTATACTGGATGGAATTTGAGAGTAATTGAAGTTATTGTCAGAGAGGCTTAATCTCTGAAGATGCACCAGGCTGAACAGGCTACTATTGGAGTCGAAAGAGCCGTAGAGATAACTGCTGCTAAGATCAAGGCCAATAACATGACCCGTCATCTCGTCACACTCCACGCCATCCTACGAGCAGCAATTGCTATTTCCTCCTGTAGCTAGTTTCCATGTTGAAACCTTTGGATAAGCACCTTTAGAACGTGAAGCAGATTTGTCAATAATAAAGCTCTCCTTGAACTGCAGCAAGGCAAAGCTCTCCTCGGCATGGCCAGATAGATGCTGCAAAAAGTCTACAAAGTTTGCAACCACAAGATGAAACAACAACAGAACTAGTAGTTTCGAGAGCATGCGAACCGACTGGTTCCCCATAATGTTTTTATATTTTTTGTTTGCACTCTTTGTTAAAGAATCATATATGAAAGTTAAAGCTAGAAACCTATCTATTTATAGACTGGTATGATCAAATGGTTGAGCAATAGGGTACACGTATCAAGTAACAATTTAATATTATTTGACATTTTGATCAATGTAGAAGTGATGGGATAATACACGTGTCAATTATCTATTTATTGCTAAAATATGAAAACTATAAGAGAATATTTGTTTGTGGGAATTTTCTATGTATTCTTCTCCTTGTAGGAGGTCATATTTATAATACAACAAAACCTGAATGGGCAAGTAAATAATAAATTCCTAAATCTATTTACAGTAGGAAATCAGGAATTAAAGTAAATCAATAACAAAAAAAATAGGAATCCTTGGTGTGTAAGGAAAGTAAGTCAATATCCACAAGTCACGCCAACACTCCCCCTCACGTTGGTGCATAGATGTCGCCAATGCCCAACTGATCCAGTGAATTGTGGAATGCTTTACTGGAAATCGCCTTTGTCAAAATATCCGCCAATTGATCCTCGGATTTCACAAAAGGAAACTGAAACACTTTAGCCTCAAGCTTCTGTTTGATGAAGTGTCGATCCACCTCAACATGTTTAGTACGATCATGCTGAACTGGATTCTGTGCAATGGCTATAGCAGCCTTGTTGTCACAAAAGAGATTCATTGTAGATGTAGGTTTATACCCAAGTTCAGTAAGCAACTTTCTTAACCAAAGAAGTTCACAAATCCCTTTAGTCATGCCTCTGAACTCGGCTTCTGCACTGGATAAACCACATTACTCAATATATTGTAATATGTATTGGCCACTTGTTTAGTTTGGGTGATGTCACACAGTAGGGGTGGGGGAGGTGGAAGGGAGGGGCATGTTAGAGTATTATCATTCGTCGAAAATAGAAGTCTCTACATTAATAGTTTAAAAGATGTTGAAACTACCTATTACCAATTAGTTTTGGGCTAAATACGACCCACATTCTACTACCTTTTATAAATAAAAAATGAGCTTCGGCAAATGTTATTTTGGTAGTTCTACGTAATAGGGGTTCTGTGATGTAATTTCCAAGTCAATTATAATATGAAAATGAGAACATACAAAGAAACAAGTCTGGATTTAAGCAGGAAGTTTCAGAAACATCAATTTTAATTAATTAGACAAAGATTGCAAAAACGTCACGGATTATGGGAGTTCATGGGAAGACTTGCCATCAACATCAAGCTACGAGACCCATGACGATTCACACACAGGA